TAGGGGACGGACTCGTCGAAACGGACGTCTTGAGAGTCAAAGAACCGGTGGGAGGGAGGGTGGTAAAAGGTGAAGTCAGAGGAGTCCTCTGGGAAACCAAGGAAGTCGCAGGGGACGGCGCGAGGCGAGATCTTGTCCGCAGAGGTGTCGCGGACAAGAGCCAAGCAGCCCCAGACACTAAACCTCGACGCAACACCAGGGGACCCTGTCCAAAGACTGGTCGGTGAAGCTCCTGACCAAGAGACGCGAGGCCAGAGGTTCAGCTGGTGAGCGGCGTACCGAGCCACAGAAAATGGGGCGCACGGACGTGGATCATGGAGGTGCGGGCAATCTCCATGACCAGGCCTAAGCGGCGCTCAGCAACCCTATTCTGCTGTGGAGAGTCTGGAAGAGTCCAGGACTGGGTGATGCCCTGCTCAGCACAGAATCTGGTGAGAACGCCGGAGCGAAACTCACCCCCATGGTCGGAGTGGAGACAACTGACACGACGACGGCGAGTACTCTCGGTGGCGAGCAGAGGTCAGTCAGGGAACCGGAAGGGGCAGCTGGGCACGGGAGGGTAGTGGCGTGAGTCGCAATGACCGGTCCCGAGGAGGGATCGGCCAGTGCTATAGAGACTGGCGTTGAAAGGGGAGAGAGAGTCGTGCGGTCGCGGAAGAAACACTGCGTCGCTCCTGAGTCCAGTGTGAAGGAGAGAGACGCGTCCGCCGAGGGAGCACCTGTACTAGTAGCTAAACAAGATTTTACACTAGCACCTACTCTAGCAACAGGCAAAGATCCTACGCTAGGTACAGGCAAGTAAACAGATCCAGCAGCACTATAGTCAACATCAGCATACATGACATAAGACCTAGCATCATCCATAGGCATATCAAAAACAGAGATGCCACGAGCAAGAAGTGTCCCCCAGCGTGGCGGCGGGGGAGCAGAGGGGCCGTGGTGCAAGCGGTAGAGGTCGTCGAGACGACTGAAGCAGCGTGCAGCAGAGTGGTCAGGGCGGCCACAGTACGAGTCCCTACGTGGACCCGTAAGGATCCAGTACTCACAGGGACCAACGTCGCGGCCGGCCGAGCGAGGTCCCCAGCTGGAGGGGGCGCCACTGCGCCCAGTGCTCGGGGGACCCGCGGACCTCCACTGCTGCGGAGGGCCCCACTGCTGGCACTGCTGCTGTGGTGGGCGCTGCTGCTGGCCCTGTCGCTGCTGCTGCTGTCCCTGCCGCTGCTGCTGTCCAGGCGGTGGCAGCTGCTGAGAAGCCGGCTGCTGCTGCTGCTGGAACCCCTCACCACCAGTGAAAACTCCACCGTCGAGAGGAGGGCCGTCAGGTCCCGAGCCACCCCCACCACCACTCCCACCACCTGCTCCACCGCCACCGCCACTACCCGCACCACCTCCAGTACCCCCGCCGCCCTTCCCGCCCTTCTTACGGCCCTTGCCACGTTTCTGTCCGCCAGAGACAGAAACAGCCGCCGTCTCCTCGGAGGCAGAAGACGTGGGGGTGGCAAGTGAGGCAGTGAAGGTGGGAAGCTGCGGCACCGCACACCCCTCAAAGAGACGAGGAGGAGGCGCGGAAGAGGCGGAGGCAACAGCGAGGAGGTTACTCTCGATCTTCGAGAGAGCAGTCTCAAGAAGATCGATAGTAAGCTCAGTGGGGTGCTTCAGAAGAAGCGCGTCGCGGGCTGTGGCTAGGCGGTCAGGGAGGCGAGTGACTAGCCAGTGAATAGTGAGCCACATAGGGGGCGGGGCAAGGGCAAGCTGGTCCTCAGTGCAAGCAGCTCGAGAGCGAGCGTCAAGGGAACGAAAGTGGGTAGCGAGGTCGGAAACAGTCTCAAAGGAAGCGAGGTCAGGGTAGATAAAGGGCACGAGAAGGCGACTGAGGGAGGCAGAGAAGGGAGTGGAGTAGCGAGCAACAATGGCCTTATACAAATCGGCGGCGGACTCGACCTGAGTGAAGTGGACTGCCTCTGTCGGCGGGAGAAGGTCGGTCAGGGCGAGGCAGGCAGCGGCGTCACGAGACTCCCACATGTCCCGAGCTAAGAACTAACGCTGGTACTCGGCCTCCTACTCAGAAGTAGGCGGTGGGGTAGTGGGCAGCGGTTTAGGCTGCGGACGAGCGGTCTGAGTACCGGACGCGTGCGCAAACAGGTGCACGCCATCCTGCCGCTGGCTCTTAAGGTGGCGCTGCGCCTGCGTAAGCCACGTACTAAAGTCAATCGGCCTCCTCTCAGGGTCAAAACGAAGTACTCGGGAGGTCGCCATAGGGGGCGAAACTGAGAGAGCGCGGCTGCCAGCCGCGGGAGGGTGAGACAGTCAGTGGCGGGTGGCAGGCGCGCAGGCGGGCCGGCGGGCGTGCGGACTGATAGGTGCGCAGGCGAGCCGGGCAGGGCGCTGGCGGGCTGGCGGCGCGGCGCGCTGGCGAGTAGGCGGCGCGGCGCGCTGGCTGGCGGGCGGCGCGGCGCGATGACGGGCGGGCGGCGCGGCGCGCTGACGGGCGATGCAGCGCGGCGCGCTGGCTGGCGGGCAGGGCGGAACGCTGGCGGGCAGTGCGGCGCGCTAGCTAGTGGGCGGCGCGGCACGCTGGCGGGCGGGCGGTTTGGCCTGCTGGCGGGCTGGCCGTGCAGCGCGATGGCTGGCGGGCTGGGCGGCGCGTTGGGGGGGGGGGGGGGGCCTGCGCGCTCGCTCATGGGCAGCGCGGCGCGCTGGCGGGCTTGCTGGCCGGCGCGCGGGCGGCCTTGCGTGCTGGCGCAGGGGCTGCCCGGGGCGCTGGCTGGCTGGCTGGCGGCTTAGGGCTCAGTGCGCTAGCGCGCTGGCGTGTCTGGTGTGCTAGGGAGTGGGCGGCTAGGGAAGGAACAATAACTAACCTAGGGCATAGGAGCGAGGAACCTAGCTGATACCATCTCAGAAAGTGACTACAGCGGAAAATGAGTTGCATTGAATGGATTGGGGTACATATTCCTAACCCTAACTGTTTGTACCCCCTACTGCACAACCCACTAACGGCTAGACCATTGACATGTACGACCACCATAAATTATCTACATTTCCGACGTGAAAGGCGGTGCTTGCTCAGCTTGCAATCGTACAACTCCGTCACTAGATTCTCCACTAGATCCATCACGTGCTGGGTGCTCAAAATCGCAACAACTCACCTTAGATAAATAGATCCGACGTGGAAGGCGGCGATTCTCGCAGAAGCATCTCTCGTCTTCCACTTGCAACATATAGATTTCTTATCGCATCCAGCGAGCGTGTACAGCTATGTTTCGGCGCGAAGTCTTTTGATATGGCGGCATATCTCTCGTCTCGTCTGTCTCTTCCGGTCGACTATCGTCACGTTCACATGCCATCGCTCTCTTTGATCACCACTCGAATGGCATGGCGAGCATCGCGCGCATCACGCGGAGGACAGATCAGCGGGATGGGAGCGAAGGCGGGAAACACTAGAGAGAGGGAACCCCCAACTCGGAGCCTTGCAGTGACTCCTATCACTGTCATTATATATCGCAGCTGGATTCCGCTGCTTCCCATCAATCTGTCTCATTTCTTCTACTTAGAAACATAACTAGTTTGTTCTTACCTACTTCTCCTCGCCGCGCTGCATTTTCACACAGCCACCAGCCTCCTACCGACCGACTAGGTAACCATGCCCCATCACGCAATGGCGTGCCGCCCCCAGCGTTACTCCCCTCAACAACTAACTACCACACCGCGAACCACCGCACGCCATTCATTGGAGCTGCGCGATCTCTATCCTCCGCACTGGAGTGAAGAGCATCCGCTGTCATTGGGCACTTACTCATCAGACAAGTCGGCAGCGTCATTCGCGCCGTTTGCGCCGATCCTTCTGCCGGTGCTCTGCGCGCAACCTCCCTGCGCAACACCCGCTGCGTCCGCTCCTTGCGGCGGAAGTTCCGCCTCCCCTTGCCGTGGGGACGCGCCGTCAGCTGCCCACCGCCGTGTGGTTTCCGCCTTTGAGTGCGATAAGCGGATCTTGCTCCCCTCGCCTCCCCGCGGCGACAAACCCGCCGCCTCCGTGTTACACCGCCGCCGCCACCAACTCGCGGCGCGTTCCAAGGAACTTTCGGCAGAAGCCAACGCGACCTCTGCTGCCCCGGTCGTCGAAACTCGGGCATCAACGAAAAGTTTCGCCTCACGACCTATCAGCTGAAGTCCCAGAAGCTTACGACGCGGGAACCTGTTTTATTTTTCTGAAGATGAAAGCATGAGGAAGCAGCGTAAAGATGGTGCAGAGGATGCCACGCCATCGCCTCGGGTCTTCGCCAGCTGCAGTTCTCCTTCCTCTCCTTGTTTTCTGCTGGCTTGCACCATGCCCAGCCGCACTTGCACTCCACCCATCAGAAGCAGTGCATCCACCACCAGCAGCAGCAGTGCACCCACCAGCAGGGTCAAGCCATGCCTCATTGGCCCTTTGCGGTTCGGTACGCCGCTCACCAGCTGAACCTCTGGCCACGTGTCTCTCGGCCAGAGGTTTCACCGACCAGTCTTTAAACCGGGTCCCCTGGTGATGCGGCACGTTTTCGTGTTTGGGGTTGCTTGGCACTTGTTCGCGACACCTCCGCGGACAATAACTTGCCTCGCGCCGTTCCCTGTGTCTTCCTTGGTTTCCCAGAGGACTCCTCTGACTTCACATTTTACCACCCTCCCTTTCACCGGTTTTTTTACTCCCGTGACGTCCGTTTCGACGAGTCCGTCCCCTACTACGTCAGGTACCACTATCGAGGTCTCCGGTTCCTCCTTCCCCTCTCTTCCTGACTTCCGCTCCCCCTCCTGCTCCCCCGGTACAGCCTCCCCCCCCTGGTCCAGCCCCGTCAGGTGTGTCCCACTCGGACTTTCCTGTCCTGCGCTTGCACTCTGACAGAGGTGGTGAGTTCTCCTCCGACCTCTTGGCAGCCTACTGTGCTGAGCACGGCATTGAGCAGTCGTTCACGCTTCCGGCCTCTCCACAGCAGAATGGGGTTGCGGAGCGCCGCATTGGCCTAGTCATGGAGGTCGCCCGTACCTCCTTGATCCATGCGGCTGCCCCCCACTTTCTGTGGCCGTTTGCGGTCCGGTACGCTGCGCATCAGCTCAACCTCTGGCCCCGTGTCTCCTTGCCGGAGACCTCGCCCACACTGCTGTGGACGGGGGAGGTTGGCGATGCGTCGCGTTTCCGGGTCTGGGGATCTCGAGCTTTTGTCCGCGATACGTCCGCGGACAAGCTCTCCACCCGCGCTGTTCCCTGTGTCTTCCTTGGCTTTGTCCCTGACGCGTCTGGTTGGCAGTTTTACCACGCCACCTCGCGCCGGGTCCTTGCCTCTCAGGACGTCACTTTTGACGAGTCCGTCCCCTACTACCGCCTCTTCCCCTACCGCACTGCCCCGCTCCCCCCCCCGCCTCTCTTCCTCGCGCCAGGTGCTGCTGTGGTAGACCCCCTCCCCCCTCAGGGTGCTGCTCCCTCAGGTGTGTCCCAGGTAGACCCGGTTGAGCCTGTTGAGGTAGCTGTTGACTCTCGTCCTGCTGGGGGTGCGGAGTCTGGGGGTGCTGAGCCTGGGGGTGCGGAGTCTGGGGGTGCTGAGCTTGGGGGTGCGGAGCCTGGGGGTGCGGAGTCTGGGGGTGCTGAGCCTGGGGGTGCTGAGCCTGGGGGTACTGAGCCTGGGGGTGCTGAGCCTGGGGGTGCTGAGCCGCGGAGTTCTGAGTCTGGGGGTGCTGAGCCTGGGAGTCCTACACCTGGAGGAGCTCTCTCCTCGGAGCAGCTGCGTGAGTGGTACTCAGAGTACTGCAGCCTCCGGAGAGGTGCCTCTGGAGCCAGGAGTACTACTGGGACTGGTGCTGGTGCCTCCCCTCCTCAGCGGGAGCTGCCCTCTCTTGAGCGGATCCGTGAGTGGTACGAGCGGCGCTGCACTCTCCGGAGTGGCGCGCCTGGTGTCGCGGACCCTGGTGCTGGAGGTGCTGCTGCTGGTGCTGGAGGCTCTCCTGGTGCTGCTGGTGTCGCGGACCCGGGAGTTGGCGCTGCTGCTAGTCCTGCGGACCCTGGTGCTGGAGCTCCTGCTAGTGATGCGGACCCTGGAGTTGGAGCCGCTGCTGGTGCTGCGGACCCTGGAGTTGGAGCTGCTGCTGGTGCTGCGGACCCTGACGTTGGAGCTGCTGCTGGTGCTGCGGACCCTGGAGTTGGAGCTGCTGCTGGTGCTGCGGACCCTGCCGTTGGAGCTGCTGCTGGTGCTGCCGACCCTGGAGTTGGAGCTGCTGCTGGTGCTGCGGACCCTGACGTTGGAGCTGCTGCTGGTGCTGCGGACCCTGGAGTTGGGGCTACTTCTGGTGCTGAGGACCCTGGAGCTGGCGCTGCTGGAGCTGCTGCGGGTGCTGGTGGTGTCTCTACTGGTTCTGGAGTCGCTGCGCGGCCCCGGCCGTACTTCGTTCCGCTCCTTCAGCAGGTTCTTGGTCAGCCTCCTCCTCCTTGTCCTGCTCCCTCCTTAGAGTGTCCACCGCCTGTCCAGTCACAGTCACGGTTACCGCCTGCCTCGCTGCTCTCTGGTCCTTCTCCTTACACTGGTCCCACAGGAGGTCTTACGGAGCGTCGTGAGCCTGAGTCTCGTCCTGTGTCGCCTACGTCTCACTCTGCGTCGCCTGTTCGTGCTGCTCGCACTGGTCGTCGTGTCCCGCGTGAGCGTCCTCCTCCTGTCCCTGGCACTCACTACATGACTCTGCGTCCCTCCACTGCTCCTCAGCGTGTCCCTCTGCCGTCTCCTCTTGCGTCCTCTCTTCCTACTCTTGCTGACCCGGAGTCTGACTCCCTTCGTGCTGCCCGTCCTACTGTCACGCGTCTCCTCGCTACTGTTGTCACTGACCCTACCTTTGAGTCCTCTGCTGCGTCTTCTCTGGTCGCTGAGTTAGTTGACTTTGCTGCCGCTTGTCGTCTAGACTACGCCGCTAGCCTTGTTGCTGAGTCTGAGTCTGTCTGTCCTCCGTCTGTCGGGGGTGAGTGTGCTCTTGGCACGGACGTCCTTGAGGACAGGCAGGAGGAGTTCCAGTGCTTTGCTGCTGCTTTGCCTCATCTCGTGTCCATGCTAGTTGCCCCTGAGGGAGACCCGGATGCACCAGACATCCCGACCCCGCGCTCTTACGCAGAGGCGATAGCGGGTCCCTACTCCTCTCAGTGGCAGACAGCCATGGACGCAGAGATGGCTTCCTGGAAGTCCACAGGCACCTACGTCGACGCAGTTCCCCCACCAGGGGCGAACATCGTCAGTGGCATGTGGATTTTCAGGGTGAAGCGGCCGCCGGGTTCTCCGCCTGTCTTCAAGGCGCGTTACGTTGCTCGAGGCTTCAGTCAGCGTGAGGGAGTCGACTTCTTCCAGACCTTCTCCCCCACCCCGAAGATGACCACTCTTCGGGTGCTGCTACACATAGCCGCTCAGCGCGACTACGAGCTTCACTCTCTTGACTTCAGCACTGCTTTCTTGCAGGGTAGCCTGCACGAGGAGATCTGGCTGCGCCGCCCTCCTGGCTTCACTGGGTCGTTTCCTCCTGGTACCCAGTGGAGCCTCCGGCGGCCGGTCTACGGTCTCCGCCAGGCACCACGTGAGTGGCACGACACATTGAGGACGACACTTGCGGCACTTGGGTTCGCGCCTTCTACTGCTGACCTGTCGCTGTTTCTGCGCACAGACACTTCGCTGCCGCCGTTCTACATCCTCGTGTACGTCGACGACTTGGTCTTTGCCACTGCTGACACTGAGGCTCTCGCCCACGTGAAGTCGGAGCTGCAGAAGAGACACACGTGCACAGACCTGGGTGAACTGACAAGCTATCTTGGCTTGCGGATCACCCGGGACAGAGCACGGCGCACCATTACCTTGACTCAGTCATACATGGTGCAGCAGGTCCTTCAGCGCTTCGGCTTCACGTACTCCTCGCCTCAGTCCACTCCTCTGCCTACCGGTCACTCGCTCTCAGCTCTGCCTTCGGATGAGTCCGTAGAGCCGAGTGGCCCGTATCCAGAGCTTGTGGGCTGCCTCATATACCTGATGACCTGCACTCGACCTGACCTTGCATACCCTCTTAGCATCCTTGCACGCTATGTCGCTCCTGGCCGTCACCGGAAGGAGCACATGGATGCCGCTAAGAGGGTGTTGCGCTACTTGTGCAGTACGTCGGGCATGGGGCTAGTGCTTGGAGGGCGAGACCGAGTTGTTCTCACTGGGCACTCAGACGCTTCTTGGGCAGACGACCAGGCCACTCAGCGGTCGTCTCAGGGTTACACCTTCAGCCTTGGCTCCGGTTCAGTTTCTTGGCGTTCTACACGTTCTTCTTCTGTTCTCAGCTCCAGTTGTGAGGCTGAGATCTACGCCACAGCCATGGCAGCCCAGGAGCTACGCTGGCTCACCTACCTGCTGACCGACTTGGGAGAGCGGCCTCGTTCTCCTCCAGTGCTGTACGTCGACAACAAGGCTGCCATTGCCTTGTGTGAGGAGCACAGACTGGAGCAAAGAACGAAGCACATCGCTCTGCGGTACTTTCTGGCTCGAGAGCTGCAGCAGCGTGGTCAGCTTTGTCTGCGTTACGTGGCCACTCAGGCCAACACTGCTGACGTGTTCACCAAGGCGCTTCAGCCTTGTGACCATCAGCGCTTCTGTACTCTTCTAGGCCTTGTGCCTACTGGACCTCACTTGCTTACTTCTTGACTTTGCTTGTACTGTGATCTCTATATATATACCTGCATGCTTTTACTTGTTAGGTTATGATCACTGTACCTCTTGCTATATTATCAAACTGCATGTGAACTGGTCTTGTGACCACTTGCTTGTGCTCGGAATTTGTGTGGTATCCCTTGAGATCCACCCTGAGCTTGCTTGTGCTTTGCTTTGCTCTGACTGGTCTTGTGACCCCTTGTTCTCCCCCACTTTGCCTATGGGGGTGTGTCAAACATTATATATGTTGTGGTTGTTTAGGCTACAGTGGGTTAGCCTTTAGGGGGTACACAATTCTAGGGTTAGGTACTTGTACTGATTTCACTGCTAGTTCAATCATTCCTGTTCGTTCATTCTGACATCCCACGCTACCCCTCCCCCCTCGGTAGCCCCTCAGGTGCAGCCTCCTTCCCCGCAGTCCTCCTCACAGCCTACCGTAGACCCTGCGGGAGTGTTCGTGACGAGGGCCCTGACGGTGCTAGCTCTAGAGGAGTTGGAGTTGGAGCTGAGAGCGTACCTGTGCGAGGTCCTGGTTCAGGGGGTGCTGGAGCAGAGGCTGAGCCCGTGCCTGCAGGAGCTGCTGGTCTTCAGGGAGCTGGTTTTAGTCGCGCTGTCCCTGGGGGTGCTACGACTAGAAGTGCGCCCTCTGCTGGATCTGGAGAGCCTGGGACTGAACCTGTTACTTCTGGTGGTGCTGGCTCTGGGGGTGGTGCGGCTGGTGCCTTGGAGGGTAGTCCTGGGGGTGCCACTGCCCCGGACACTACTCCGCACCCGCACCCCTACCCGACCCAGCACCAGGCCCGTCTTCGTCGTGCACGTGAGGAGCAGCTGAAGTTGGAGAGAGAGAGAGCCTCGAGTTGGAGCGACAGCTGTTGGAGCTACAGCAGTTGGAGGAGCAGCCGCAGCAGCAGCAGCAGCCATTGCCGGAGCAGCAGCCGCAGCAGCAGCTGGAGGTCGAGCAGCCGCAGCCGCCGCAGGAGCAGCAGCAGCCGCCACCTCCTCCTCCTGTCTCTGGTCTTCGGACCCTCGGTCTCCCCTCTCCCTCTCCTTCCTCCTCCCCCTCTCCTCCCGTCTCTGGTCCTCCGCTTCCTCCTCCTGACCCCTCCCCAGCTGTTTTCCCTTGTTCCCAGCCTCCGTTGTCCCCTCCTCTTTCTCACACTTGGGCCTCTCGTCGCTCTCCTCGTGCTCGTCCCTCGTCCCCTCTTCCCATGATTGACCTTCGTACTGCCCTGTTTCGTTCTAGTCCACCTCGTCCGTCTCCGTCTGTGCTTCTTACTCCTCCTGAGTCGGCCCTCACTGCTTCCCTCTCTACTCCTGTTACTAACTACTACCGCACTTACCGTCCTGGTCTCTCTCCTGTACTCGCCTCTCTTGTTACCGACCCTCGTGCTTCTCTGTCCTCTGTCTCCGCTCTTACTACCGCACTCACTGAGTTTGCCTCAACTCGCCGCCTTAACTACGCGACCAGTCTTGTGGCTGCTCCTCCTACCAGTCCTCTGGTCGTCGTGGGTCCTCTAGAGTTCCTAGCAGCCGCTTCTCCTCATCTCTGTGCCATGCTGCTCGCCCCTGAGGTAGTCTCCGACGCCCTTGACATACTGACTCCTCGCACTTACGCTGAGGCAGTGTCAGGGCCTTGGGCCTCTCAGTGGAGAGCTGCCATGGACGCAGAGATGGCCTCCTACAGATCCACAGGCACCTACGTCGACGAGGTTCCCCCCCCCCCTGGGGCGAACGTAGTCGATGGCATGTGGATCTTCAGGGTGAAGCGGCCACCGGGTTCTCCTCCGGTCTTCAAGGCGCGCTATGTGGCTAGAGGTTTCAGTCAGCGCGAGGGAGTCGACTTCTTTCAGACCTTCGCGCATGCCCCAAAGATGACTACTCGTCGGGTGTTACTGCACGTAGCAGTACAAAGAGACTACGAGTTACACTCTCTCGACTTTTCCACTGCCTTCCTTCAGGGTAGCCTACACGAGGAGGTCTGGTTGCGTCGTCCCTCTGCCTTCACTGGCACTTTCCCTCCTGGGACCCAGTGGAGGCTAAGGCGACCGGTCTACGGTCTCCGTCAGGCGCCTCGTGAGTGGCACGACACCCTTCGTTCTACCCTGTCTGACCTCGGTTTCCAGCCGTCTTCTGCCGGCCCATCGTTGTTCGTTGGCTCCACACCGTTCTTTGTGCTGGTCTACGTCGACGACCTAGTTTTTGCCACTGCTGACAGGGTTGCTTTGGCAGACATGAAATTCGAACTGCAGAAGAGTCACACGTGCACTGACCTTGGTGAGCTGCGCCACTACCTTGGCCTGCAGATCACCAGGGACAGAGCTGCTCACACCATTACACTCTCATAGTGACACATTGTGCAACAGGTCCTTCAGCGGTTCGAGCTTCAACACTCCACAGTACAGCGCACACCTCTTGCTGTTGACCACAGACTTACTGGACCCTTTCCTGACAGAACGTTTGTGCCTAGTGGTCATTACGCAGAGCTTGTGGGCTGCTTCAGGTACCTGATAACGTGTACTCGCCCGGAACTCGCCTTCTCTCTCAGCATCCTTGCTCGCTTTGTTGCGCCAGGGAGACACCGTCCTGTTCACTAGACAGCAGCTGTGAGGGTGGCGAAGTACCTAGCGACGACATCAAGCGTGGGGCTGGTTCTTGGAGGGCAGCAGTCTGTCGTACTTACTGGTCACTGTGACTCTTCTTACGTTGACGACGCTGAGACTCACAGGTCTACTCAGGGGTACTGCTTCAGCCTGGGTTCTGGAGCTGTTTCGTGGAGGTCCACGCGTTCCTCCTCGGTCTCGACCTCTACCTCCGAGGCTGAGATCTACGCTGGTGCCATGGCGGCACAGGAGCTGCGCTGGTTGACCTTCTTGCTCACCGACCTAAGTGAGCGGCCGAGCTCTGCACCGACCTTGTTCACTGACAACAAGGCGTCGATTCTCCTCTATCGAGAGCCGCGACTGGAGAGCAGAGTGAAGCACATTAACGTCAGGTACTTTCTTCTGCGAGAGTTGCAGAGGCGTGGACAGGCTCGCTTCGAGTTTGTGGAGTCCGAGGCCAACACTGCAGACATCTTCACCAAGGCGCTTCTGCCTTGTGACCATCAGAGGTGTTGTGTGCAGTTAGGTCTTGTTGACACAGGTTCTCGTCTTGCGTAGACTTGAGTTCTCTGCTTGCTTTGCTTGTACGCTTTACATATACCTCTCTCAACTCTTGGACTGGCCTTGTGGCCCTTTTGCTTGTGCTCAGACTTTAATAAATTTTAACGCGTTTAGTAACTCGATTCTCGCGTTTGGTAACTATACACTGCTTAGCGATAACGGGAATGGTAACTAGAAGAAACCCTCGCCCAAAATGACCCTGATTATCATTTTTCCCGCTCGCGCTAGACTAAATCGACGAATCCTGACGCACTGAGCCCTGACAATTTTTTAACAGCCGAGAAATCTACGCAGGAGTAACCGTAAGGAAAATATTTTTACAAAATTATTGAATTGTTTCAGCGCTTGTTATGATTTTTTTTTATTTTTTTTAATTTCATTCTACCGCACGAGGGCAAAAATGATAAACCCTTTTCGGATGGCAAGCGATTCTGAGAGCATCAACCCTAAACACCTTGGGACAAGGCGTTTAGGGCTTGTTTTTAATTTTGGCTTGCAGTACGGTACCAGAAATATATTTGTGTTACTTCTTCATCTATTTTAGCCTTGTCGCAAAGTGTTTAGGGTTGATTCTTTCGAAATCGAAAGCCATCCGAAAGGGTTCTATGTTTTTAGGGTTCGAAAGCCATCAGAAATAAACAACTGTGAAGTTCAAAAAGTACGCTCCGAAAAATGTTGATTCGTTTAAATTAGTATAAACAGAACGTACATGCTTGCTAATTATCTTGGTTCGGAAAACGTGCGTGGTATGCAGAATTCGATACGTCAGGATTCATTAAAATAATTTCGCGCGAGCGCGAAATTTCCGAAACAAAGTCATTTTGGGCGACAGTTTCTTCTAGTTACCATTCCTGTTACCGTTTCCCAGTGTATAGTTACCAAACGCGTGAAAATAGTTACCAAACGCGTGAAGAATCAATGTAATTGTTACCGTACGTGGTAATGAGCATCATAAATGCTACGATCAAAAGTTGATCGTCACCAGGATCTACTCAGGAAGGTTCGCACGCAGTAAGGTAGTGTTGGTGGGCCCTTTGTCAGAATATTATGCTCTAGCCTGTAGTGGGGTGCTCTGTAGCGAGTACAACCCTTCTAGGGTTTGCTATTTGTATCCTCATTCTTGCTAGTTCAGTTCTCTTTTGCCTTCATTCTCTCTTGCCTAGCTAGGTCAACCCTAGCTATGGCTCCTCAGTATACCTACTATCACGACATGGTATTAGAGCTTAACGTTCCTGGCCTGTGGGCCCACTTCACTGCTTCCGCTGCTACTGCTACTCCCTGTCCGCCGCGCGCCCCGTGGTGCGCGGCGTCGAAACTAGGGTTTTCAGCCCGCCGTGCGCCCCGAGGCGCGCGGCGGTTTTCTGCCCGCCGTGCGCCCCGAGGCGCGCGGCGGTTCTCTGCCCGCCGTGTGCCCCGAGGCGCGCGACGGGTTCCTGCCCCGTCACTCGGCACGTCGCCCCCGGGAGGCGCTGCGACGGGCGACGGGGACCCGCGCGTCGCCCCCCGTCGCCCGTCGTGGCCTGCACGCGGCCCGTACACCCGGCACGCGGCCCGTACGGGCTGCGCCAGGCCTGCGCGCGGCCCGTACGGGCTGCGCCAGGCCCGCGCGCGGCCCGTACGGGCTGCGCCAGGCCCGCGCGCGGCCCGTACGGGCTGCGCCAGGCCCGCGCGCGGCCCGTACGGGCTGCGCCAGGCACGCGCGCGGCCCGTACGGGCTGCGCCAGGCCCGCGCGCGGCTCGGACCGCCTGCGCGCGGTTCGGGAGGCGGTGCCAGGCCCGTGGGCGGCCCGTTCTTCGCTTCCCCTGTCCTCCCCGCTGTCCCCCGTGCTTCTG